CATGTTTTAGACAAATGTCTCAGTTGTGTACAGTAAATGAAATATTTTGTCATGTTCTAACCTGCGGATCACATCAGCCACTCTCTGGATCTTGCTATGTGGGTCGGTTCGATATAAGGATTCAGAGTACTCCACACAGATCCCCTCTTTTTTTGCAGCCGGAAGAAACGATGCCATGCCATAATTTCCATAATCCGTGTCTGAGTAAACAGTACCAATCCAAGTCCAGCCAAAGTGTTTCACCAGCTTTACCAATGCGTCAACTTGGAACTGATCACTGGGAATCGTTCTGAAAAACGTTGGGTACTGCTGCTTATCTGACAGGCAGGCACAGGTGGCAACATAACTCACCTATATTTACATGGAAAAATATTGTTATTGCTTTTTAATCCAAAGGCATATTTTATGCATTTCTTTATCAATAACAAACTATTTACCTGTGAGATGTTGAAGGCTGTAATGACGTGGGATATGCTGATGGATTCCAAAGATCCAGAATCTCCAACAACAGCCGTCACTACACCAGATTGGGAACAATTGTTGCCTTCGTAAAACATTGGGTCTTTACCATTCGATAGTTGAAACGCTGCGTCAGATGCCCCAGGCCCTGAGGTGCATGAGTCATAGATCTGATAACCAAGTTTGATGCCTGGCAGCAGCTCTGTACTGTTGTTTATTTCCTCAATGGCGAATATCATTGTACGAGAGAACTGCAGACTGCGAACACTTATGCTGCACAAAAACAATTATATTAGTGCTGAAATGGAGATTATATATTCATCAAAAAGTTGACATACACATAAAAGTTACAAGAAACAAATAAAATGACACACAGTATTAAATTATGTCCATTTTTGACAACAGACAAATGAGGTTATCTGTAATTAATTTTGCTGTATGCTGAACATAATTACACATAGATTAAAAGGCATCAAACTGTACAAATCAATAACATCTTTTTTATTAAATATTTTTATTTACATTATATCCATGTTAACCAAACAAAGTTCTAATGAAGTACAAAAAAATAATTATTATTTGCAGCAATTCAAAAAGTTTCCATTTTTATACTTTTGACAATCTTTTCCAACCAGTAGTTCCTCTCACTTACCCCCCTGTGCATCTTAAAGCTTCAGGCTTAGTGGTATAATTATAAATCGCTGTGTGCATTTTGTAGTGCATGGAGAAAACACCYCCAATAACAAAGTCACCATCTTTCGCAAATGCAGGTAAACGAACTGTGCCTCGCCGGGTACATTTTACTGATGAAGCCTCAGTAGTGACACCAACACCAGTCAGAATCGCATCAGACGAAATCCTTTGACTCAGACCAACCACTGACAACAGTGTTAACAAACTCACAGCTATTGTCAGACCCATGAAGACAGATCTGAATTATATTCTTCAAGTGTTAGCATTTTGTTTTTTTTTCTTTTCATTTGCTGATGTACCTCCTCTACCCTACGTCAGTTTGTCATTCACCAGTAACAAGCCAGCCTTGTTAATGATCTATTTGGGCTCCAGTTTGATATTTTTGTCACACTGAGTTGTGAAGTTTGTTTTTTGACACACTGTTCTGTGAATGGCATGAGCAATTGCATAAATAGCCTTGTACTGTGATGAGATGCTTAACTGAGATGTTTCAGTATACAGGCTTTTTTTCATCTCACTCTTATCTGAGTTAGCCCTATCTAAACGCATAAGGGAAAATGCACTTTGTGATATATGATTGAGACAAATTCATATTGCTTTGATGTCATGTACACACAATTGACACCAGGATTAGGATTAGGGAGTACCAGCTCATTACAGCTAATACAATGAAAGTGGGTGTTGGCAGCCTGCTCTAGGGTGCGTTTGTTTCCTTGTAGTGAGTGTGCCTAGAAAGAAAAGACAATTTTTTTCAGGCTTTTCAGGTAATTTCGATCAAACAGCATCCAAGTCCAGTGGAACTCTGTAAATTTTTTACTATTTTTCTCACTTTGTGCTTGTGGCAGTTGTGATCCTTGCACTAGGTTGCCTGGCAACTGATCAGCTGCACCTGCAGATCATTGCCACCTGATGACTTCTGGAGCTTTATAAGGAGCTCATTGTGGATCTGATCTTCGCTGGAACATCACCTATTGTTAGGTACTGATCCCTGCTCTGACAAAACTAGTTTTTGTATCTTTGAATTAACCAAGCCTCCTCTTTGTGTCACGCTCAAGCTTTCTGTGTGCTCCTGGAAGACGTCATCAGTTTAAATATAGGAATCCTCTGCGACCACCACGATAATACCTCTCCCTGCCTTTTCTGAAGGACTCACCGCCTGCCTCTGCCTCACCTCAATCTCTGGATCTTCACTCCTCATTACCGAGACTGTGCTGCCTCACCTGCCTGGACAAAGTCCTGAAACTGAAGACTTTTGATACTCACTATAAATAAACTCACTTACTTTTGTAATCTGTCTCTGAGTCGTTGTCCTTTTAAAACTACCTAACTGTGACACATCCTCAGTTCATGATAGTCATGTGG